GCACTCAACAGCCCAGCGCTCCCAACAATTGTTCATTGTTTTGTCATTCAAGCCGTCCACCGGGGTGTTGGTCATGTCAAACTCAATAAATTTCAGTGCATATGCCCCACAATCAGCATTACAATAAGAGGAAGACATTAGCATTAGAATTAGCTTATATAACAATTGTATTATGTAAGTTTTATACAAATTTTACCTTGAGTCATTTGTCGGGACGGGAAGGCGCTTGAGTGGCCACTTTCCCGTTAGTACTTCATCACCGAAGTGCTGAAACATCCTGCTGTCATGCAACAGTCGCGGGAACAATACGCATAGTGGCTCCAACTCCATCTCCAACTGCCTCTCTCGACAAATACTTAGGTTGCAGTCAAGGATATTTAGCAAGCCTTCCTCTAGAAGCGCGACGACAGTTATCCAGTGTATATCCTTGATGTTGAAGATTTAGTATACTCTTTTAATCTTTGCCCAACTATGGCCATGTTTGGGCCTTTCCCCCCGTACATACTGCATGATCCTGTCATCAAACTAAAAATCATCAGGGACGCTATTGAAGTCATCTGTGCTCAATCTTTTTCACTTGGCTCCTCTTGCTGCACCTCTACCAGTGGCTTTTTTCATTAAAATATCATACGTCGTTACTAGCGTTTGGCCAAAGGCCACATCGATGATGCCACAATTAGGATACAATATATCACCAGTACTGCTTTGACGTAGCCTTATGAGTGCCAATACCTTATTGATGTGTTGCATCAAATAAAAACAACATGATAAGTATACAGTACCTCATGGAACTAAGTCGTCAAGCCACCTGCCCATCGTCAACATCTTTCAAACCAGTCTCGGGGATAATCCCCGGTCTTGCACTTTACATGGGCATCACTTCCAGATTCGTTGTAATAGGCATAAAAGAGTTTTTTCTTTTCCTCCTCTATTGGCCTCTACAAATCAACCTTTAACTCCTCCGTTTTCGATTGCCCACTTCCTCCCCCTTCCTCCATTTGCACATCCACACTTCCTTTGCGTCCCGCCTCACCCTCCTCCATTATCACTTCCCCACTTCCTCCAACAACCTCCTTAACCTCCTCCATTTTTGGTCCTCCACTTTTGTGGACTTCCTCAATTTTTTTCTGCATTTTCCTCTTCTTTCCATACGTTGCTATGGTGTAAGGAGATTTGACAAACTTACTCTTTCGCCTTTCTCCTTTCAGCTCAAGTTGTACTTCAACCGCTTTCAATACTCCACCAACTTCCTCCTCCACCCTACCAACTTTCTCTACCACCTTATCAACTTTCTCCTGCACCCTTTTCATCCGCTCTTCCATCTTCTCAAACCTCTCATAAACAGCTGTTGTAAAACTCTCAAACAGACCGTTTATGAGGTCAACCACCTCATTCTCCCGACCCCAACACCTTGACAAAGCAGTACTTGTTGTACTGGTTTCCCAATTGGGTGGAGGCGTAAGAACCCATTCCTCCTCCTCCCCCTCCTCCCTCCTGCTGATTGGAGCTTCATCATCCTCGGCGTCACTAACATTCTCAAGCAGTGGCCTTGCAACTACACTCATATGTGTGACCCTTTTCAGGTCCCGCATTAGGCAGTCTATCCCTTCATCTACTTCATCCTCCAATGCTTCGAAGGATGTAACATACTCCTCTCCCGCTTCACCCATAGTAGCGCTGAGGAAGGGACGGACCACTCCCTGCAATAAGAAACAAAATCAATCAGATCTAAGCCACATTTAAAAACAAGTGCATATTCAAAAGCTTAATCCTTTAATCTTACCCCAGCCGCTTGAATTTCGATGTCTATTTGTCATAATCCCAATGGGTACACTTGTCGATGTGCCACCGCAACATCCTAGGAAATTGTGGTCACTCATCCGAAGTCTTCATCCCCCCCTCCCCCCTGGCTTAGCCAGGATAGGGATGACCTCATACATCCAAGCAAAAAAATAGTCCATATCATAATTAAAACACATATAATACAAAAAATATAACAAAAAGCCCCTAATATTTACCTGCATTGCACATGGGAAGTCAAACAAATTGTACGTGCTCGCTCTATTCTTATTGACAGATTGGGACTGCTTTAACTCCACGTATTTTCCTTGCAGGGAGACCATGGTTAGCGTAAATGATGCCTGTCCCCACGAATAAGCATTAAAGAAGTCCAAGTTGCTTGCAAACTTCACCCAATCCATATTAACGACTTTTGTTGAGTCAGAAGCCATTAGGATCGAATGTACGAACCATACTAGACACATTTTGAACCTCTCTGAAGAGCTATACCCATCTTCTTCTAACCTCTCCTCTAAATCGCGTCCTGTAATAGACGCTTTCTCCCCCAAAACCTTTTTAGCCAAGTTTACGGCTGCCCTACTGTTCTTTATTCTCTGTTGCTCTGCCGCTTTTGGAAATTTCCCACATCTTAAGCCTGTCACCAAGGCATATTCCATCATCCCAAAACGTAGTGGCTTTCCATCCACCACGAACCACATTTCTTTCTTTTTTTTTTGCTTTTAACTGAGTGCAGCAACATATAATGCACTCCTTGCCCCCAAAATGCCTTTTTCCAATTTTCTCCAATCTTCATAAAATGACCGAATTAACTCTCTTTGAATCGGTCTAAACCATTCCTCAGTTCCCGTAAAATCTCCATTATTCTCGTAAAAACTTGCCAACTCGACCTAACTGTCACCTTTACAGGGAAGTACGATACCTTATCGCTTACAACCTCCAACCCATAGTCTTTATAGTTTACGCTCTGGAAAATCTGCACAATCGATATAAACTAAATATTAGCAAAAAAAAAAAAGAAACCCATACAACTAATAGGCTACCAACATACTTTGTAACAAAGAAAAAGTATCATACAATCAACTTTTCAACTAATCTTTTCATGTGTATGAGAAAAAAAAAAGAAAAAAAAAAGGTTTTCTGTGGTTTCATTGGTTCTATTTGNAAAAAAAAAAAACCAAAACAACTAATAGGCTACCAACATACTTTGTAAACAAAGAAAAAGTATCATACAATCAACTTTTCAACTAATCTTTTCACGTGTATGATAAAAAATAAAAAAAAGGCTTTTTGTGGTTTCATTGGTTCTGTTTGATTTAGAAATTATGGTATAAAGTTGAGTGGTGATGGTGAGCCAACCTAAAAGTAGTGACCTTCTTCTAATAATAAGCTGTCTAACCGTATAATGAGATTTAATATTTGTCCTTCAATCATCTAATGTTTTGATATTCAATCAAAATATAACAAAGAAAGTAATTTGCCCATTATATAATAAAGCAACGAAAAATCTAATGCATCATAACCAGTCCTGCAATTTAACACTTCTAACACAACAATCATAGCTAGCCCTGCAAACAATCATGCAACCCCTAAAACCCTATAGTAATCAATTATGGGTAATAATGCTGTCATTATTCTATTTTAAAGTTCATTTGCTCAAACTGATGGCATTTTGATTAATACCTTTTTGAAATAACAACTCTGAACTACAACCTTATTGATCTCTTTGTCAAACTAATAACATATTGAATCTTGAAGTGCGAATGAATCGAGGTTTTGACTTGAAATATTTTTGAATTCTAGTTATACTTTTGGTAACTTCTAGGTGGTGATGTAGCTTAAAGCTTCGGGTTAACAATTGCCATTATGTTTGTGGGAACTTTAAACAGGGTAAATTGGTGGAGGTTCGACAAGCTGCTGGTTTGCTGTTGAAAAATAACCTTAGAACAACATACAAATCTATGGCTCCTACAAACCAACAGTATATAAAATCAGAGTTGTCCTTGTTTAGGAGCTATTGATAGGCACATCAAGTCCACTGTTGGGACTGTTATTAGTGTTTTTGTTCAACTAGGTGGGATTTCGGTATGGCCTGAACTGTTGCAAGCTCTAGTAAATTGCTTGGACAGTAATGACATCAATCATATGGAAGGTGCTATGAATGCTTTGTCCAAGGTATATCCTGCTTTTTAGAACTAATGAATCTTTCGACTGTTAGTTTTCTATTCTATATTTATGTAATCTATCTCCAAATTATACACATTTAATTTTGTTTTCAACTTCCATATGAATATGTTTCCCAGCTTACTTGGTCTGAATCTCACACTAAATTCTAAAATCTATGCAAACAATCATGCAACCCTTCGCACAGCACAGCATGCGCTGTGCGTGGCCATCCTTGCCAATATGCAGGGCAGCCCTCCAGCCCGCCAAATTCGGCTACCTCCAGCCACCCCCAGCCCACCAAACTCCCTAAAACAACCTCCCTACGGCCTCCCTTGCCTTCCCACATCCTTTGGAACCCAAAAAAAGCCACTCCAACAATGCTTGCCAACTGCTCGACAAAACACCAAGACCACATCTCCCACAAATTCGCACAAATCAATCAATTTTCTCATCCAATTCAAAAAAACAAGTAAAAATACGTACCATTTCTTCACCGACGTCCTCCTCCTTGCCTGAATTCTCACCGACGTCCTCTTCTTCAGAACCATTTTCCGATTCTTCTCTTTGTTCTTGTGCCGCCGTCATCTCCTCTACCTGTGGACCACCTTCACTCATCGGATGATCCACCGGAGCATCGTCTTCGACAGCCTTTGAATTGTTGGCGCCGCCGTAGTCTAGGATTTGAAGCGGGGTTGGTTTTCCTCTTCTTTGTGAATGTTAGCCATGATTTTGTGTAAGGAAGCTTTAGGATTGAAAATGGATTGAAAATTTGCCAGAATTTGGGCACTGTAGTCGCCGAAAATCATAGAGAAATGAATAGTCTTCATTGGTTAACACCTTCGATTAAGCGATTTTGAATGGGTGGGGCTAATTTTTAAATTTCAAAATTTAAACAACTTTCGTTAATTAGATTTTATCCACATATGTTTAAATTTTTTCAGTTTAACCTATTTTACATGTTTAATAAACCCTAAATATGTCACGTCAACTTTTCTAAATTAAAAAAATCAAAAAGATTTTCTGGATAATTTTGTTAAATGCAAACTTGAGTTGTCCGGAGAGTTAAATTTCCCCAATAAAATTCCCAAACCCCTTTGCACACAATTATCAAAAGGATTCAAAACTTCCATGGATTTCTTCAAGTCCGTTTTCTCCAAAGATCCAGAACCAGAAGCAGAACCCTTTGATTCCGAATCTTCAGCATCAACCTCCGAAAACCCCAATCCCAACTCTCTATGGACTTCCGACGGCGGCTTATTCAAGTCGGTGATGGAGAACTATCGTAAAGGTTTTGAGGAGCTCCGATCCGGATTGAAGAAAGAGACCGCCGTGATCCGTGAAGTGGCCTCTCGCGCCGTTAAGGACCTCCCCACTTCGTTGGAGATTGGTGCCTCCGTTGCGCAAGAGTCCCTCGAGTCTGTGGGCCAAGCCATCGACGATATCGGGAGCACCGTTTGGAAATCGACGGCTGATATCATTTCTCAGGGTAGGCGCAATCTCTCAACACAAACACCTGATCATTCATATTCTTATTCTGATTCTGATAATAATAGTAATATTAGACGTTTGAGTGATGTTAAATTGTATAGTCGTTTTGAAAGACAGTTGCTTGCAATTGGGTGCAATCGTGACACTTATTGTAGGGAACCGGAGGATATAGAGGAGTTTGAGAATTGGAAATCAGGGTTTGAGTTGGATGATGAGAGGAATAGAGAGATTGATAGTTTGGTTAAGGAGAATGAGATAATTGGTGAGATCTACAGTGAGGCTGTGTTGAATACTAAAGAAGTTGATGAAGAAACGTTTTGGAGTAGGTACTTTTATAGGGTGCATAAGTTGAAACAAGCAGAGGAGGCGAGAGCTAGGCTGGTGAAAAGGGCGATGGAAGTAGAAGATGAGGATTTATGTTGGAATTTTGATGATGAGGATGAGGAGAATAGTGGGTCTTTGGTTAAAGGTGAATCAATTGGTAATTTGGAGGAGAAGAGAGAGTCTGATTTAAATGTAATAAAGAAGGATGATGTTGAGAATCCGAGGAATAAGAATTCTGGGGTTGAAGAAAAGGATAATGAGAAAGTAGAGTTTGTGGAGGGGAATGCTGAAAATGGTGAATCGTGCAAGGATAGTGATCTTTCGGTGGTGTCGACCCAACCATCAATGCCTGATGAGGAGGACCTTGGGTGGGATGAGATTGAGGATATTGGAAGCAATGATGAGAACAAAGGGGATGCGGTTGGAAGTATAAGTAGAGCTGTTTTACGGAAGCGGTTGAGTGCTGCAGAGGAAGATGAGGATTTGAGTTGGGATATTGAAGATGATGAAGAGCCCATTAAATCATGATAGAGTTGATGACAACAGTACAGAAGTGTTCTGGTAATAAGTTCATAACATATGTTTACTCCCAGAATAATAAGTTAAATGCTTTCATAAACGATTTATTGAATCATTGTAATTTATTCATGTAAATATTTTTGTCGTTTTACTTTCTTATAGAAATTTCAATTAATTTTTCATGATAGTGTCACTTTTTAGGATTTTTATTAGTATGAATTACTTTGGTATAAGATCTTTTTCTGGTAGTATTTCATTCTTTAATGCTGTTGAAACTTGAATATGTTGTTCGAGAAAACTCATCTTAAGCTGCAATGTTCCCCTCCTCCCTTGCCCCCAACCTCTTGAGCTGTAATGTTTAGGGATGTCAAAATCCCTGGCCAAGCCGGGTGTTGTCCGGGTCCAGACCCGCTCCGTATGTGTGAAGACTGGACCCGGACCTGGGCGTATACCCAGTGTTTTTATATTCCGGGTCCCGGGTATGTAGACCCGATTTATTAAAATTAAATGGAAATAGATTGAGTTGTTGAAAAGAGTATTGTGTTCCTTTAATCATTTAAATGCAATTCATATAACATGTGTATCAAGCAAATATATAATCGAAAAAAGAAAGAAAAAGAAAGGAAGCAAGGATAGTGAAGCCATTAGTTTCCAGAAAATATACTTCAATTCCCATTTAAGAATTATAATTAAAAAATGAAAAGCTCTAAAAAACTACCTGAGTAGTAAACATGATAGTAAAAGATTCTTAGTAGTTAGAGCACCTCCAAATGACTCTTTACATGACCTAAACTCTTTATTATAAGAGCATCTCCAAATGACTCTTTATATGATCCAAACTCTTTATTATAAATAATTTATCAATAAAAACAAAAGTTTAACAGATTCTTTATCTTTAAAATATAAATTAGAGAGTGAGTTTGACTCTTTACATTTTGAGAGTCAAATTTCACTCTCTATCCTAATTTTAATTAATAAACTACTAGTTTCTATGCATTTTATTTATTAATTCTCTCTTCTATTAAATCTCTTTCTTAAAAATAAAAAGCATCTTCGTTAAATTTAAAGAGTGTTGGATATGAATAAAAATTGTGTTTTTTATATTTAAAAATTAATGAATATGCTCTTTATTTATATAAAAAATGCTCTTCAAAATAAAGAGTACTATTAGAGATGCTCTAACAGATTCTTTATTCTTTAAATATCAATTAAAGAGTGAGTTTGACTCTTTACATTTAGAGAGTCAAATTTCACTCTCTATCCTAATTTTAAATAATAAATTACAAGTTTCTATGCATTTTATTTATAATTTGTTTCTTCTATTAAGTTTCTTTCTTGTGAAAATATATTCTCTCTCCTAAAATTTAAAGAGTTTATTGGATTTGAATAAAAATTTTATTCTTAATATTTAAAAATTAATGAAGATGTTCTTTACTTTTATGAAAGATACCCTTTAAAATAAAAAGTACCATTGGAAATGCTCTTACCCATACATTTAAAAGAACACTTAACAATTAAGAAAATAAACCTTTTAGATTGCAGTAAACTGACCTTTGGACAGTTGGATGTTTAATTAATTTATTTAAGTTTGATCTAGCAACAAATCTGAACAAAATATTCAAGTTAAAATATGATTTAAAAGAAGCAAGAACAAGAAATAAAAAAAAAAAAGAAAAAAAAGCAAGTAATATTGATCTTGCTGGGCGGTGACTTAGAATCACAGGGTGGCGTGGTCAGTAAGATGGACTGCTGCTTCAGTGGTGGAGTGATGAAGATAGTCTTGCATTGCATAGTGGTGACCGGTGAGTGGTGGTGGCATGGCATCTCACATGGCGGCCGGTAGGGTGATGAAGATAGTCTTTGCTTTTACTGCTTTTTGAAAGGGATGGTGGTACCCACCCTTGGATAGTTCAAGTGGTAAGATAAGCATTGGGATGCGTGGTTAAGACATATGATCTTAGGTTTGAATCCCTTTAGCTCCCAAGACTTAAGTAGGTGTTGAGGTGTGTATAAACTGGTTCAGATACCCTGTTTTAGGAAAAAAAAAAAAAAAAAAAAAAAAAGGGATGGTGGTGTTTGCTGTTTTTCAAGTGTTCGTGAGGTGGAGATTGATTGATTGTGATATATAGGTTTCAGTCTCTGTACCCAACCCCGGCTAAGAAAACCTCTTGGGTCTTATTGTCTAAAGTTTAAACCTAGGCACCCAACTCAATTATTTTATTATATCTACTCTAGGTAATACCGGTGTTGGAACATCCGGTCCGATCAGAATAACAAACGTGTTATCCTTTCGACGTTGGCTACTGGTTGATCGATAGTGGTAGTAAATTTAATTTTTTAAATGTATTTATAAATTTATTAAATTATCTATTTAATAAATGAAATGTCTGATTAAGTTTATTATGTAATTTGAAGAATGGTGTAGGTGATATTTGTCATTTTAAAATATATTTTTTTATTTATTTATAACAATATTAGTGTTAGTTATGCCTGAAACTAAATATTTTAAAATATGTAATAATAATAATGTTAAATATGCATAATAAAAAGCATAAGAATGGTTCAAAGTGGGTTGGGGTGGGGAAACCCACAACCCAAACATACCCAATGTTGATTTTAAGAATAGGGCGGGGCGGGGCGGGGCGGGTTGCCTCATAACCCAAATATTGCCATCCATCGTTCCTCGTTGAGTTATGTAACTCCTTGAAGCATTGGAGATCTAGTTTATTCATCATTTTTCAGAAAATTGAGTTCCCAATCCTGTTTGAATTTAACACATAATTCATTAATTTGTTTGTTTATTCTTTTTTTGCATTTTTAATGCAGGAAACATACTTTTGGTGTCCCATAATTTCATAGAGCGCCCAATATATTTCTGCCTATCTCAGCTATGCCAAGGACGTTCTTTACCCACATAGTGGGATATGAAATATATACATTACTTAACTAGAAAATATCTAAATATCTCAACTACTTAAGCCTTAAAGTTTCACAATTTCACTATCATCCTTATAACCTTCACTGTGCTGATGAAGAGAGCATATGTCCACAAAAAGATGGGCAGAGGCCTTTATGTACTCATCACGCTTAAAATGCTCCTACACTATCTCGGTTTCATACACGATATAGCCCCAGAATACGAGAGCACTGAGTCCAGTGTCAATTGCAGCAGAAAGAGGGATTGGGTTGAATATCTGCATTATAATGCAAAATCTTTATAATCAAATAAAATTTCATGTATAATTGCAGGTGGGAAAACTCACCTGGATGAAACCAGCAATTACAGAAACAG